CCAAGTATTTTCTTAATAGATGAAGTGACAAACAAAACTCTCCCACTCATTTGATGAGAGTTTCTAGCCAAGTCTATTTGCACAGACTTATAAACATATTTGAACTGAAACTAAAATGCAGAACAAATATGACTGAATGTCATTCAATCAGCCTAAAGCTACACAGAAAATGGGGGAAAACCAGGTTACTTACTCTAGTATATCTAATATAACTTTCATCCTTACACTTCTACAGAAGATCACTTACTACAAATAATCTTCTGTGAAATAGCAGATTAAATGTCTTCTGTGTCTTCATGTCAAATGAATAAGGAAGGAACAAAGACTACGTTTCAGTAATATTCACTATCTGTCACATTAAACTACAGGCATTTTCTACTTTCAGATGCTCAGACCACTGATGTGATACACTGTGCTGGATGGTACCAGGCAGCTGACTTTCATTTCTGTCCTCAGTTTAGGACTACAAACTGCAACCTAAGAGATACATCTGACTGGTCACAGACACTTAAGTTCTGAAATGTCCAATGTATTTTGAGAACTACAGAGGATAGATCAAGTAGAAATTACTTTAAATCCACTGTTATATTCTAATACGGGATAATCTGTTCCTCCAAAATTTTTTCAGCTATCAGCCATGTCTTCACAGAACAAAAATCCCTGGTTTTGTTTTGACTACTGAGGCTCTTTAACATCTCTGTCAAACCAGGTGTCTGTTCAGTGATGCTCCAGCACCTTCCACATGAACAGAGTTATGAGAAACACCAGCTGCTTAGGGGAGATTATCATATAACAGCAAGTTCCACTCTTCCGCCTCTTCCTCTCAGAATCTACATCTATTGGCCAGTTGTGGCCAACAGACAGAATTTGGACAATTTTCAGACATGCGATAGTAGGTATGATTCACAGTAACAATATTTTAATGAAGAACTCATAATTCTAACTATTCCTTAAAGACAGAAAACTATGTTAATATCATGTTTATCTAAAAAAACATAACTGATAGTCTTTAAGTACCAATCAAATTATTCTAGAAAAGTAAGGCTTTATCTGCTTAACATTAACTGTAGTCACTACTACAATTGTGTATTTATAACTCCTTTTATAACAAGACAACAGTCCCTCTCTTCTTTGAAAATGCCACTGCATTTCATCTTCAGCTACAGAAACTTATTCCATTCCTATGAATTCCCACAGAATTTGGTGGTAAAGAGAAGATATTTCAAAAAATACAACAGTTTATTCAAGAGCACGTGATTAAAAGGCACTGCCACATTCGCTGGCTGCTACAATTGTCATATTCAAACTATCTTCAAATAGTTACTCTTCTTGAATTCCGAAAATGAACAGCACTGCCTTTGACAAGTCATCCAATATATGGATATTTCCTGTCTAATTCATGCATACTCGATATTATTAAGTTTACTATTTTCACACTTTTTCTTATCTTTCACAGCTGAGACCTTATGAGCTCTCATCACGTTTTATTTTCCAATGGCAGACTTAATATCTGATTGCTGTTACCTAACTGAATTTTCAGTGATCATAGATGAGGATACCATATTATAAAAGTGAACATTTTAACTGATCAGTTTACACAATTCATTTGAAAACAAGCAGAAATTGAGAGTATGTCTGCACTAATACCTCCGCAGAAAGAGGAGTCCAAAGTTTTACAAAAGACTGTCCTGGTTTCAGATTGAACAGAGCTGATTTTCTTCATCTGCTATGTTTTGGCTTCAGGAGAAAAACAACGCTGACTACCAGGAAATGGGACGGAACAAGAACAGCTGACCTAAACAGGTCAAAAGGATATTCTAAACCATATGACATCATGTAGAACTAGAAAACTGCAGTAAGTAGAGAGGTGGTGCTGATTCTCAGGGTCTGGCTTAGGCATTAGTTAGTGGCTGGTGAGCACTTGTGTTGTACATCACATAATTATCATTACTACTATTTTTCATCTTTTTCTGTCTTAGTAATTTACTGCAATTTGTAGGTAACTTAAGTTACTACATTAGTTTTCATGCTTCAGTGATAACAAACTAATGAATCCACTTATCTACTGCTGGTAGAAAAAAAAAAAAAAGATTGCTTTTTTTAAATTTTACTTTCCAGCATCTTAGTTTTTCTGTTATTCACCTAATTTCCACAATTTTGTTTGAGTTCTTTAGTTTCAGTGGCTAAAATGTAGAACATCATAGGAATTTAATGAAGCCAAAATGCAACTGCTCATTCAACACCGAGAATTCAACAAAATGTCAATACTCTCAAATAAGGTTGTCTTAGTTGCTTATCACTATTTTTTCTTATTATTTGTTATTATGTCACTTATTACTCCTGTCATTCTAGATTCATATGTAAGCAGAAACAAATGTTTTGCTCAGTTTTCAAGATTTGCAGGAAAAACAGTATTTCCAAACATAAAACACGTCCACATCAATGGAATATTTCATTGGTTTTTAGCGTCTCTTTCCCAGAGATCATTACATGAAAAAAAATGTATTTAAAGGCAGGTGCATCTCATTACAAACAGACTGCAGCACAAAGCAGGAAGACAAAACTGGCATAAACGACCTGCACAGCACACAGGATATTATACTGTTGTCCAAAAGAGGCCTGTCCATGAAATGAAAATATCCTTTTGTGACCACTCCTATTTACAAATCAGTTTGATTATATATACTTAAAATCAAATAAATATTATTAAAGCATCACTCATATGCTATCAAATAGAACTTCAATATACTAAAAAAATTATTTAAGAATGTGGTAATTCAAAGTCAACAATAATGGCTACACAACCATTTTAGACATATTGTTAGAATAATGATGCTAGAAAGCAAAATCAGTAAGAAATTTCAGCTCACAAAATTTTTTTTAAGAACTATCAGGTAACAGTTAACATTCCAGGGTTTTATAATATAATTATTTCTCTAAGATAGTGATGTAATATTAAAAATAAAGCGTAATTGTTTTAAATTCCATGTAGTAACATTTTAATCTGTAAAGTTTAATTTTTTAAAAAAATTCTACTTGAAATCAGCACTCTTTAAAGGACAAAACTATTAGTTGCTCAGATGTGTTCTGCCTTAAACTGATGAGAAACAAGTGAAAAATGATGATGGCTGAAACAAAAACATTGATGTTTCTCCCAGAGGAATGTTTTTCAGAGAACAACTTCTGAAATGAAAATAATGAAGAAAGAAAAATATTAGCAGTACCTTTCTACGTAGATAGTTTTTCAAAGATTCCTATGAGTCCGTAATGGCTCTTTCTCAAAGCAGAGAACAAGGAATTCCAAGATTCACATTTAAGAAAAGGCAGTGATTTAGGGAATATTTCTAGAGTAATGCTTCTATATCAAAGTGAGAAAAGCAAATGAAATAGAGGCAGACATTTCCATAATTACTGATGGGTTTTTTTCTTGCCTAATTTGGTCTCCAAGAGAATTGCTGTTACTGTTGCTTCCAAAATGCCTTAAACTGAATGACAAATTAATCAAATTAATTTGCAATGTACTTGTAAGTCATACAAACTTTAGGTGATAGAATGTAAGTTACACAAACAACACAACTGAACTCCCACAAAATAGTTCTGGAGATATATGGATCAACAGACACTTGCACAAAGTAGTCCCTTAAAAGTATTAATTTATTGAATTTTATTTATGCTGCCAGCCACTGTCATTAAGTAAGCATCTTTCCACAGTATTCCTGACTATTTTTTACCTACTTTTCTGTTAAGAAAGTACATTCTAATGCAAATGTACTAGAATTGAAGAGGCTTTGTTTTTATTGGCTGGTCTGGTCTGATCTTCCCAGTGTAAAAATCCCTGCTAATGGCTCAACTAATTACCGTACATCGGCAACACTGGAAGAAACTGCAGATGTTCAACACTCTGCCACTGCAGATGTTCAACACTCAAATGACAAAGTCTGTCATTTCTATAGTGATTGTCAGAATGTTTGTAAAGACTGAACTGCATATCCATCAATTACTCATTCTATGTCTGTGGTTTAACTTGTGAATCAGCCCAGAATACTGCAAATATTTATCACAAGGCAAGTAACAGTGAAGTGTCCAAACAATTAGAGTAGATTAAAGTTATTATATAATAAGAACAAAACCATACAAACTATACCTGAATTTATTCCAGACTTTATGTATTCCACATGTAATTAAACAAAATGTGTGACCAATGAAAACTACAAAATATGTATTTTGCTGCAAGAGAGTACTCTCACTGAACTTGTTTTATGTTTCAGACATTAAGGACAGACTATAATTACCATTAATTTAAGACATTATAGCAACCATGTTTCCAGCTTAAAAAAAAGAAAAAGAAAAGCTTCAATCTGACTTATGTTTGACTTTCTGTGCCACAGAGATTCCCAGATGTGCCATGGAACGTGGAATTTTTGTTTACTAGGTCCAGCTAAAACTGAGGATTTTTAAGTTTCAAATCACACCAAGATAGTACAGAATCTGATTACAAATACTCAGTTTTTACTCTTACCATTACTCTCACAAAAATCACACAGAGGGTACTATGCTGCACAATTCCCAACTCTTTCAGAGCTGACTAATGTGAAAAACAAAACAAAACAAAAAAACCCACAAAGGTAATTTATTGGACCATTATTTGAGCCTCCTACTCCAAGCCCAGTGACACTGAGCATTCATGGTGGCCATTAACAGAGAAACAAGTTTGTTAGACTTTTTATGATGAAAAATGAGGATACAAATAGAATGAAAACATTTCCCAAACATTTATCTTTACCTTGGCACTACAGACTGCTATATTAGCAGGGAGCTGAGAAAACTGCTTCAACTCAAATACGTCTCGCATTGCCCACCGGCTCAAGTGATTCTCAGCCTTGCTTGATCCAACCACATTCTGATTTGAGTGCATATATGCCACTTCTTGAACCCCATCTGATACATCAGAAGAAAAAGATCATCAAAGATTATGGTTATTCCAAAACTCTCAAGATACACAGTTACACTCAAGAAAGATACTGCAATTAATTAGTCATTAATAATTTTTATTTGAAACTTGTAACTTTTGTTACAATTACATTCAACACTAGGTTTCTCAGCTCTCTTAAATGAAGACAATCAGCAGCTTTATCCAGACAGTTTAATGCTGCTGCTATGGGGCTTCTTCAGATAGAGAAAGAATAAATTTCAAAGCATCTATTGTTTAAAGGTGTTTAAAGGTAAGTCACTAATCAAATGAAATCTTGCACATGGTATTTCAAACTCTCAAGTCACATATAATTAAAAATTTAGGAAAATAAAAAATCCATACCATTCCAGTCCAGACTTTTACAGTTTAAGTATTTAAATTTGTGAATTGTTAATTAAACATCCTTCTTAGAATCTTTCAACAGATAAGTAAACATTCAACAAAATATTACAGAGAAGCCCATTTCCTTGGAAGATAGAATAGTTAGGCTAAGAGGTAAAAAGAGCAATACAGATATTATTAAGTAAGTTAACAGTGCATTTATTAGTGTATTTTAACAAAATGATACATAGAAGGAAGAACTTAATCTGCAGCAGAGACACTAGTATTTAAGATTAAAAAAAAACAAGGAAGTTAAATGACTAGTTACCTAAATATCTGTCCATTGATTCCACATTTTGATTCCGATGGTCAAACTGAGCTCTATGTGTAGAACTTCTATGCACAGCATAATTGCCAGACTTCATCTGTGCAGAAGAGTGCGTACCATCCTGAACAGGATGGAGCATTTTAGATCTGATTTGAACTCTGCATCTCTGGCTTTTACACTTACAGCTTTTTTCTTGGGTGTGAATCTTTTCAACCTGTAAGTTATCTTCAAAGGATGAATATTCATCTATATTCTGAGAATCACTTCCTCTTTCTTTCCTCCTCCTCAAAGTCTTCATCCTTTGAGGCAGAGGTTTTGAGAGTCTGCCTAGTGCATTGCTTTGTGTATGCCTTTGTTTCCCTTTCATGAAGCTGAATGTTCTTAACTTTCCTGATTCGGAGTGACAGGGAATTTCAATATCATCAGATTCATCACTTATGTCGCTTGCACCTTTCAAACCTCTTGCGTTGTTTTTCATGTTTTTAAAAGGCACAATTCCGCTGAAATTTGATTTGGTACTATGGAATACAAATTGCCTACCTTCTTCCTTAAGTACAAACTCATTTTTTTTTCTTAGTGACTCTTCACAATTTTCAGATTCTGTCGTCTGTATTTCAATTTTTTTAGTATGCATTGCTTGGTGGCTTGCTGGAAATTGGGTAGGAAAGATGATATCACAGTTTTCTTCAGAACTGCTTTCAGTTTCCATTACTACATCACTTTGCCTTGAAATGCATAGATCCTCATTTTCTCTGTCCACTTCTTCTTCAGAGTCTGATAAAACAAGACAATCTGCTCTATGCACATCTTGTTTATCAGTTCCATTTGGTAACTGAGCAGTTTTCCTGTGCTCCAAAATATGCACGTAGCTTTCACGTTTCTGAACATCATCACACTTGCTGTTGACACATGTTCTTATAGCCTGACCATCAGAACCTGAATGGTGAGAGTCAGTATTACCACTTCTTTCAGCAGCTTCAGTTTCTCTCTGCAACAAGTTAGAGAATCCACATTGCACTAAGGAAAGCTGTCTCTTTGCTATCATTAAATTATTTGTGCTGCAAGGCTTCTTTCTGTTAGTTTTTTTCATGGAAATTTCTAGAATATTATCATCATCACTAAAATAATCATGAAAATCAGTTTCTTCTCTCTCTAACTGCGCCTTAGTGCTTGAAGGTCCTCTAGCTCCTCCATAGTCTGGTTGTTCACACTGAAAAAAAAAAAACGGAAGAACAATTATTTACACCAGGTAGATAGTAGAGAATTTGGAAGAACAAAGTTTTAAGCAGAACAATAATGAAGATAACAATAAAAAATTATGTTTTCAGACAAGGTATTTTTCTGACTGCTAAAACAACTTTCGTTTTCCCAATCCACACCAGGTTTTTTTTTTTCAAAGCTTGTTGCATCTTTTCATCTTTTAAAAGTTTGAAAAGTGACCTCACGATGCATACATTAATACTGTGCAAAGATATTCATTAAAAAAACATCAGAGCACAATGACAAACCTCTTTGCATTTGGTTGCTAACATTTTAAAAGAGCTATAAGTATTTAAAACTCTGCTCTAAAATTATTTGGGGCACACTATAATTTAACAAAAATTACCTTGAGGAAACCTTAAGACACTGAAAATACAGCTCCAAAACTGTGTACTTCTGTGACAAAAAATATGACAAATGGAAATACAAACTTCTGCCCATGCAGAGAAGTTTTACAAATTAAAATCAATATAACCTTGCTTACAAGGAGGTATTTAACGTACACTAAGAAAGTTTATGTTTATCACCAAGACCATTTCAAGGCCATGACCATACATCAACTGCATTCCCCCCCTTAATTAAGTAACCAAAAATCTTCCAAAAAACAGAAGGTGCAGGATTCTCAAATAACTTCTTGGTCAAAAGGCTTTTAGATTGTATCAGTGTTTAAGACACTACTGAGTAATTATTCAATCAATAATGTCACTAATAGTATATTAGCAAAACCTTCATTAAGAATGACAATACCCAAGTATTGTAAAGGTCACAGAATACTGTGATGACAAATGTTAAGAATACAAAATTTTAAATACAGAAAAGTGGAACATTATTTAATGCTTCACAATAAGTAAAACAACGGGCAAGCAGACAATAAAACATGGCAACTGCAGCTTCAGACAAAAGCATTACCAGCCTAACAATATACTACTGCTGCTGTTAGATTACACAGACTTTCATGCTCTGCTTTGTATCCCACAAAGTATCTCACATTTTCTGAACTGTCCTGAGGAGGTTCTTCTTTTAGCCAAGTAGTCACTGTCATGACTCCAGCTTCTACTTGTCCTTCCCTCTAAAAGGATAAAAAAAATACATATATAACTAAAACAGTACCTGTTCAAGGCAAGCCTAGCAAAAAAAAAATAATATATATATATATATAAAACATAAAATTTATATTTTATACAATATATATATATATATATATAAAATATATATATAATATAAAAAATATATATAATATTTTACAATGGGAATTGTTGCTTAAAAGGTCAGTTTAAGCTACTGAATAAAACTTATGCATACATGAAGTTTTTATTGTTTCATGCAGAGAAGTTTTTCTGGCATAAATCAGAGAGAAATTAGGAGGTCTATTTCGTGTAAGGCACTACAAAGACAATTACTGTTTAAGTTTCACCATTCTGTTTTGCTTCCATTTGAAATTACGACAAAATACTTTAAATGGAAAGAAATAACATAAAACAAATACTGAAAAGCAAAAGTGAAAGATTTCACACCTCCAGGATGTCTTTCGTAAGACAAGACCCATGACTTCTAAATTTGAAAAGGTTATGGATGCCGAAAAGTTCTCCTTGATGTTCCTTTGATCCTTGCACTGCCTCAAAATATCGCTTAGCATTTTCACTTCCAATCACAGCACAGTGAAGTTGCTAAAACAGAGCAATACAAGAGATTTCAGAAGTGTTTATTCCAGTAATACATTAGAATTTCCTGGCATCCATGTCATCCTCAGTTAAAGAAGGCAGAAATTTCTAAGAAAGGATATTTTGCTTTCATTTCTCTGGCAGATGTTGATACAATAGATGGTAGTGGAGTATGAACATGCTTGGTTTTATAGTATAAAAATAGTAAAGATATCTTTACAGTCTTTTATCTCACTGCTATCTTGTATCAGAAATCTACTATAGAAAATACTAACAACTCTCTGTATCTTGACTACTTATCTTTCTTCAATACTAAATACTGATTTGAATAGTTTCTGAACTTTACCTGCTTGTAAACTTGCCGTAAGTACATAATCTCCTCCACAGTTCCCAAGGATATCAGTCTAAACACTTTAACATCTTTGCATTGACCAATCCTGTAAGCTCTGCAGAAAAAGTGGATTATAAAAAAAAATGAATTTTTAAAAATGGATTAAATGGATTATTAAAAAGTGGATTATTAAAAAATAGATTTTTTTTTTTTAATAGTAAAGAACAAAGAGAGGTAGTAAAATAAGAATCACCATTACAACAAAACAGGAATACACTATAATACTCTATTTAAAAAAAAAATAAAATTCCATATGCCTTTTCTCCTTCTCCATGTTTTCCCAGAATTTCATTCTCTTTTTCTTTTTCTTTAGTTTTCTGTTTTTCTTCTCAGGTCTATCTAGTTGCAAAGGGTTTCATGTCTTGTATCACAATGCTTGTCTTCTGAGAAAACTTCCACTATTTCTTCAGGGTCTTTTTTTTCCCTAGACCTGCATCTGGTCTTGCACAAGATATTACTGCATTTGCATTATATATACATGTTATATCATGGATTACTTGCAGCAGTCTGTTCTTTCTTAAAAAGCACATTGCAAGTTGCAACATCATAAAAACAACCAACAAACAGGCAGTAGAGTATCTAAATAGTGAATTCTGAGACTTCTAATAGATTATATTCAAAACCTCATTTTTAAAAAATTCATGAGAGGACAAACCATTTTATGGCTATGTAGTCTTACTCTTTAAAGACAGTCTCTTTCAATAGCAATTATTTCTGATATATGAAATGTCTCTTAGAGATTAGAAAAACTTGAAAGTAGAATTACGTAATTGGATGGGACAACATAAACAAGTTCATTTCTGATCATGAAAAAATATAGATCTACTGCATTTTGAAAGCTGTCAACATTCTTTTACTTCAACAATCTAAATGTTTGTCCAAAACTCCTAGGGAATATCATGTAGTCAGAGCCTGAAAAGAAACATGCAGATTCCTAGAAATATTCCAGAATGGTATAATTTCAGACATGGAAGGGAGTGCTGGTAAAAGACTCATCTCCACAGGGATGAGGTAAAAAAAATAAACAAATGTTTTTCTTAAAGGAATCTGGAATTCAAAACATCACTCAAACTAGGGTCAACTGCAATGTACTTGCTCTGAAAAGCATAGGAAAAATGTCATCTGGCTATAAATATATATATATATATCTGCACTTGTTCCTAAAAGATCACAGAAAGTTACAATAACCATAAAATATTTTTTTAAACCCACTAAAAAGGTGCCATAAAAATAAAACAGAAAATAAGATAAAATTCAGGGTTAAAAACAAGAATATCAAAGCTAAAAAAATGAACTGGATAATCAGACCCTCCTTTAAGAAAATCTTAGTTGGACAACCAGGTTACATAAACAAAACAGAAGAAAAGAACACAGACCAAGTTATGCATTTTGAGAACATACCTGTCAATAGCTTGAAGATCATTTGCTGGGTTCCACGTTGGATCAAACAGTATAACAACATTGGCACCAACAAAATTAAGACCCAATCCACCAGCCCTAGTAACATAAAAACGATACAAAAATTAACAAAAAGCCAGTGTTTTTTTAGTGTATTACATACATACAAGCATATTCTTCCCTGACATAATAGAACAGCACAAAAATAGTGGGGTACAGCTTTTTGTTAATGGAGAGATGATAACAAACAAGCACTGTTGTAAAATGCCAACTTCTCACCCAAGAAGTAAGATGACTGTGAACTACATGACTTAGCAAATCACAACCAGCTGCCATTACCTCCACTACAGTAGAGAATACTGAAAGTCATAACCATTTCAATGCCAGTTAACATTACAGACTCATGATGTGTAAGGATAGTTTAAATTAAAAGGGACTTAAGAGTCTGTATGACATTTTATTTCCTTTAATCCCAGCACACAGATTTGAAAATAGTGCTATATATCTTTCTCTACATTATGACCATTCTAATGAGTTGCATGTAGAAAAATAGACTTGTGACGGTTTATTTGTACAGGATTAAAACAACTGTTGTTGTTCACACAGCTGTATATGAGCAGTTCTTGTAAAAGTCATCAAAAAGTCATTTAAGAAAATTTACTACTGCAGGGTGAGAGTTGCAAAGGTACTAGTTACATCATATTCAAATATTCAACCCCTGCGGCATGCTTACAGGTAAAGGCAGCAAGACAGCAAAGAATTTGAGCATATGCTTAAACTGAGTTAAGTACTTAATGCTCTTGATGAATCCAACAAAACTGCTCAATTACTTGATTTACACGCACATAGCTGTACCATTTGATAGAAACCATGGTGAAGAAAATACCACTTTCCAGCTGCAAAACAAGCAAATACTGTAAATTTTTTTATACTGGCTCAATTGGTATTAAAAAAAATCCACATTCCTACAAAAAGACAAAAGCTCTTCTACAACTACATGCTAAGTAATAGTATTTAACTTCTACACCAATTCCTTACACTGTCATAGGTGGCACTAAGTCTCTAAGTGCTATTTTCTCAGTTACATACGGCAAAATTGAGAAAGCCAACTCAACTTAATTTACCAAGCAACTGTTTTTAATACATAACTTTATATTCTGCTTATTTAAAGCAGTGGGAGAGGTAAAGTTTATAAGGAATGAATGAACGGAGACAGAAACCAAGACAGAATAGAGATCCACCATCTCCTGGCTTTCATGGAATATATTTTTTTAATGCAAATACAGAAGTGGCTTTCCCTACCACATGTACTTTAGTATAGTGTTAATAAAATCTGGAAAGAGGATATAGAAACCCGACAATATTAATAGAGGTTTCTGGAAAACTAGCATTCTTGGTTTTAAACACTAAATAAAAATATTTGTGTTTTTTCCAAATGACTTACTGTGTTTCGGAATTTTGGTGTATTTCTTTTTTAGTGAGTGCAGAATTCAGACTCCCACCTACCAAGCCAACTGTGCAGTCAGACTGAAGAATAAGTCAACATAGTTTTCTGAACACTTTCACACACACACAAAAAAAACAGTATTTGGAGCTAGAATACTAATTAAATTTCAATGAAAAGCCCTAGTGCAAGTAAAACAGACTCACTACAAAAATAACTAAATAGGATATTTAGTTTTATGCAGATTTTATCTTTCAACACTTCTATGTATGCCACATATATTCAATATTCCAAAACAGAAAATCCAATGAATCTTCTAATGTACAGATGCAGTAATTCCTCACTGTTTTCAGGGACAAAGAGGAATTCACCTAGGTCTTAGGGAAGCTGATGGCCATAATCTCCTGCTGAGTAAGGTTATAAGCAAAGTTGCACGACCAGCACCACAAATCACCTCATAACTCTACCTGCATGCTGCAGAGGGTATCCAAAGACAGTTCTAAGATGTCTTTGCACTGTTTTTTTAAGATCATGTCTAATTGCTATTTAAATGGGGGATCTTCCTACATAACTCCCAACACACATGCTTTCATCAAAGGACAGAAATAGCAACACAGACAAACACATGACTGCATGTTTCACAGAGTTCCACTCACATTCTCCCTAAGCAGGAAGAAGTAAGTTTATCTCAGTTCTCTGTATACCTTTGCCTGGTACTTGACTTCATATAAGATGACATATGGAGGTAACAAGAATAACAAATCAATAAACAATAAAATCAAATATCTGTGATCATAGTTTCATTAATTTCAGAGGAACATACTGCTCTGTGTCAAAGAGGAATTCTTATCTATCATAAATCTACACGTAAATCCAATGGGTAAAAACATTTCTATCAGAAAATCTGTTGTGTGAAATAATTTTGACAGACATATATTAATGAGCATGATTAATAACTTACAGCAACACCATGACATAATTTTTAAATTCAATACAGCATTTCATCTGGTTTTTGGTCTATGTAGTGGTTTTGAAGAGTTAATCACTTGACAACTCTCCCTCCTCCTGGGAGAAGAGGGGGAATGAAGAGTAAAAAAATCTGTCTGAGACAGGAGAAACTAATTTATAAAAATCAATATGAGATAATACAGAATAATTAAGAATAATAAATAAAACAAAAATAAGTGGGAAGAGAGAGAGATTGTCAGTCCAAGTCTTTATCAGCAGACCCTCATGGCTGGCCTCCCAGAAAAGAGAGAACTCCTCCCCATCATCTGGAATTGGAAATCATGCGGTACATCTCAGTGGATCTTTCTCTTGGAGAGTCAGAACTCACTGAGAGTGAGACTGCTAATGAAACTAGGAAGTACATCTCTGCAGTGCACTGTGCGTCTGCACCCCACAGCCTGTTGCATGATGTCATGAAATCAAATACTGGTAAAACCAGGACAGCCTCACTAGCATGGAATGAACTTTTCCTACAGTAGTCTATATAGGGCTCTGCTACACACTTTTAGTCAGAACAATAATGACACTGCATCAACGTTTTAGCCACTGCTGGGCAGTGCTGGCACTGCCTCAAGGTAATCTCAGCAGCCCTCTCACCCCACGAAAGCCAGAAGGCTGGGGATGAGCAAAAGGGGAAAAGAAAGCATTGCCAAGGCAGCTGATCTAAACTCACCAAAGGGATATGCCCTTGCTGATGACATGCTTAGCAATAAAAAGAGGGAAAGGGGAAAGAGAAAAGGGGGGGGGGGAGGAGCTCTTGTTATGAAAGCATCTTCCCTCCTGAGCAACTGCTATGGGATTCACAATCTAATTCCCAAGATGCAGTCATGCAACACTTGCTGATAGAAAGTAGAGAATAATTGTTTTCTCCCTTCGCTTCCACATTGCATTTGCCTTTTTTTTTTCTTCCTTCTTCTTTTCCTTTAATTAAACTATCCTCACCTCAAACAGTTGCTTGGTTTCTTTTTGCTGGCATTTTTTTTTCATCTAATTAAACTACCTTTATGTTAACTTGTGATCCCTTTTTTTTTTTTTCCCTGTGTTATCTTCACCCCATTCTTGTGAAGGAGGAGGAGTGAGAGAATGGTGTAGTGGAGTTCAGCTAACTTTCAATTTGAAGCCACCACACATTCATACTCACTCATTCTACAAGTACTGTACAATAAAGTGAGACTGTCTACAATAAAGTTAGTCTTTCAGTGTTTTCTAACTCCCACAGAAATGGAAATTTGGAACTGTGATTCGGATGATATGCTTGTTTCAGATCTTAACCAGCAGAAAGCATGGAAAGGGTAGAAGTCTCTAGAAATTTGAAATGCCTCAGTTCACAGTAGTGGGTTCATGTTTGCCTGCAAACAAGAAAACAATTCACCCTCTCAAAGAAGTAATCCGCCATAAGATGATGAAGTAAAATGAAGAGCACCCAATTTTCTCTGTAACAGAAAGGCAGAGGGAAACACAAAGATTACATGTTAAGTTTTCTTACATTGTAGATACAAGACATATGTTAATTTCTTGAACTCTGTTGAACTCTCTTACGATCCTGATCCTATCTTCTGATTTTGTATTTCCATCAAGTCTTCGGAAATCTAGCCCAGATGCAATACAGTATTGCTCCAGTACATCCAGCAACTGGGTGGAAAAAAAGAAATCAAGTACTTACTGGTGTATTTTCAATTAAATGTAGTAATTTGAGGCATGTTTCTTAAATGTATTTTCTAATAAATAAAGAACTAAAAGAAGAGCAAATCTTCTCCATTTCAGTATCAACATCCTTGACTCTCTATTGTTGTGATTTTATAGCACTCTAAGGTGATTAACAGTGGTCTGCCATGGTCTCATTCCCTAGCCCTGATTGCTCACCCTACCTCTAAGTGATGCTGAATCAGTTCACCTAAATAAGTTGATAGCAACTTAAAACAATTTCTTAACATGTTAGCAAGTTAAAGTGACTTAAGTATAGTAAACAAGCAGCAGAGCCAACACACAGAAACTGACTGGTATGCAAAGCAAGAGTTCATAAGGATGGAGTAAAAGAAACAAGTAACCAGCAGTCAGACTAGTCCTGAATACTGAACTACAGCTTAAATCATCTACATACTGCAATCTTCCTTTAAGCCACAAAATGATTCAGAATTGTCATTCACAGTATTCTAATAATTTTTTAAACAGTACTATCATTTAGCTAAAGAAATCTATGTTACAGGTTGTTTCACTTCAGGAAACACACTATTCCACAAAAGAAAATCTCAGAGCATTTCTCCTATTAAACAGCATTAAAGCTTGAACAAACTGATATGGCACTTTAGTCTCAAGGCTGATATTTAAAGAAAATGTTACTGCTTTGCAGTGCTAATGTAACAGCTGTATACTTTTGTCATAAACTGCAGTGACACTGCTCTAAGTGAAGATGCATCACGTGAATTTGGTATGAGCCATATATACTTAAGTACTAAAACAACTATAAAAAGCTCTACAGAGGGAAGCAGAGCATTACATCTGTTTTACTACTACTATTTTCATTATGAGATAACATAAGGTTTCAACATGCTTCTGGAGTAATGCACACTTTTCTTCCCATCATCATTTCCCATAGCACAGAAAGGAAACATGACTGACAGCTGCTTACTCAGAACTTACTGCTGTGGTCAACTGAGAAAAGCCATAAGGAACTCACCTTCGTGGAAAAGGAGAAGAGAAGAACTTTATCCTTTTTTTTTCGGAAGTGATTTAAAAGTTGCTGAAGGACCTGTGAATGAACCACAGAATGCAAATGAAGACATTTCATCTACAAGTCATCTCATGCACAGTCACCTATTTCTACAACATTTAAACAAGACACATTAGCTAACTATTTGCAAAGCCAAACAGAGGTGTAACATAATGATTTTTTTTTAAATTAACAAATATTTAAGATAACAGAGTTGATGCATGTATTCATTTTTCAGTAGTCTCCACTGAAATCCCACTGTAATGGAGTAGCCCCTAACAAACTCACAAACTGTTTCTATCAGTGGACAGACCGCAACAAAATGCTGTTTATGCCAAGCCACACCAGAATCAGAGAATCACAGAATAGTAAAAGCTGGAAGGAATACCTAGAGATCCAGTCCAACCCCCCGGCCAAAGCAGCGTCCCTAGACTAGGTTCCACATGTTAGTGACCAGGCAGGTCTTGAAAGTCCCAAGAGAAGGAGAATCCACGACCTCTCTGGGCAGTCTGTTCCAGTGCTCCATCACCCTTACCATGAAGAAGTGCTTATTTCTGCAGAACATCCTATGCCTCTGTTTATGGCCGTTTCCCCTTGTTTTATCTCCATGTACCACTAAATGGACACATGGCCTCATTCTTTTGTCTCCCACACCTTAGGTCGCATGATCACATTCTCTCTCACAGACCGAGGTCACTCAGCCTTTCCCCATAAGAAGAGGTGCCCCAGACCCTTTATCATCTTTGTGGCTCTCTGCTGGACTCTTTCCAGGAGACCCCTGTCTTTCTTCATAGAATGGCCTCGGTTGTAAAGGACCACAATAAACATTGATTTTCAAGCCCCCTGCTATGTGCAGCGTCGCCAATCACTACACCAGGCTGCACGAACCCACATCCAGCCTGGCCTTGAATGCCTCCACAGATGGGACATCCAGAATTCCTACACTGTTCCAGTGCAGTACTACCCTCTGTGTGAAAAACTTCCTCCTAATATCTAAATCTCCTAAACCTCCCCTCTCATAGTTTAAAACCATTTCTCCTTGTCCTATCACTATCCATCCTCATAAACAGTTGTACTCCCTCCTGTTTATGTGCTCCCTTCAAGTATCGGAAGGCCACAATGAGGTCTCCCTGGAACCTTCTCTTCTCCAAGTTAAACAAGCCCAGTTCTTTCAACCTTTCTTCACAGGAGAGGTGCTCCAGTCCTGTGATCATCTTAGTGGCCCTCCTCCAGACAAGGAGCTCTACATCTTTCTTGTTCCAAGAGTTCTACGTCTTTCTTGTGCTGGGGACCCCAGGCCTGGACACAGTACTCCAGATGGGGCTCAAAAGAGCTGAGTAAACTGCTCCACGGTCAAAGAACCCAAAGTTCCTGTGGTGGCACTAGCCTTTCAGCCATTTAATCAAGCCTGCATTTTCCCAGCCCACTCTGTATCTCTCACCACTCCCAAACGGGAGATATAAAAATACCAATCGTACTCCCACTCCCTCAACCAACCATCCTAAACCCCTGAAACCTCTTGATAGTTCACAGGCTTCCTTGAGTGACTTCATCAGTGCCTGTCTGAATGGGCAGTTACCAGAGAAGCAAACCAGACCCAGGTGTTTTTTGGTGACACTGCTGACCCAGCCCCTAGGGAGGCAGCTCACCTTCCCACAGGTCGGGTCGGGTCTGCAAATGGAGCCCTCTGTTCCCCTGAGAAGGCAGTCACCTACCACAATTACCCTTCCTGTCTTTCCTGGCAGAGGCAGTCTCAAGGTGTGGGGACAACTACCTCGCCCTAGGCCCTCTCTGAGGCAGATCCTCCTTCACCTCCTCTTCAATTTCCAGCTCCCCAAACCTATTGCTTAGGGGAACCTGGGGAAGCAGGGTAGGCAGGCTGGGGATGGTCCATGGCGCTCAGATGGGACTTTCTTCCAACCCTCATAATCTGTCAGGTTAACCTGACTGCAACCAGGCAGGGGATCCATCACTTTCAGGGAGTATCTCCCTTGCACCCTTTGCTTCAGCACACCAGTGAGTCACTCCACCAGTCAGTCTCCTGCTCACACTCCCAGATAGTTTTCAGTTTCTCTCCACCTCCTCCTTGATGTTCACCACCAGACTAAGCAGCTCTTCCACCTTCTCACAGCTCATGCAGGTGGAATTCCTGCCGCCCTTCCCCAACAGCAGCAGGTTCAGGCACTCCCCGCAGCCAGACACCTGAACAACCACATTTCTGGGCAGGCTGTCTGGGTCACCACAGCTTTCTTGGAGCAAGCCCGCTGTCAGGTGGAGACCATGTTTAAACTTGTGGTCTCAGAGACTGCCAGTAGGAGAGCTGGTCTCCTGCGCAAAGAGGAACAACACTTCAGGTGCAGTTCAGGTCACGAGCATTTGCATTTAACAAATGTGCACAGCTCCCCTGAAAACAGGAAGGTCTGTTTAAGTTTTACGTACTGCATCTGAGGTCAAAACTTCGTGGAACTTGTCTTAAAATAATTGGTGAGACATATGCCCCTCCCTGCTCCCAGTCTCATTCTATGTCTGTGGAAACACTATACGTGCTGTTTTTATAAAGAATTATTTCAAGTGGTTTGTCATTTAGAAGCCCTTTGCACTTAGAAAAAATACAGAGCCACTCCTACCTACAGTTTCACCAAAACTATAGAAATAATCAGATACAATAGTCATGAGAATTACTGCAGGCTTTAAAAATACATTTTGTTTCATATGCCTTCATTTTTTATTTTTTTTTTCCAAACTGCAACAGTCACTTGCCCTTGCACTTAGTACTTCATTATGGGAAAACAGTGGCCCCCAAACAAAACAGCTCACTCACTTTACTTCCATTCTCATGTATTCAATTATTTCAACTTAAAAATCTGTGCTTGAAATTCACCTTGCAATAGAAAACACACAAAAAACTCTTATTAAAAGTACATTCTGCAATCTGATTGAAAATGAGCTTATAATTCCACAAAAATAGCTGAATCTCACGTCACTTCAATCTAGTATCTATCTTCCACAATAATTAGGACATACTAGAATCATATAATCGTACACTTGTATCTTTATATTTAGATTACAGTTAGATTTTTTTCCAGACTACAGTTATAACCTGAAATTCAGAATGGCAGACCCAGGATGCCACATTGTTAATGCTACAGCTTGCAAAACACAGAGAATGACTGCACCAACAGCACACGGTAGGACACATACCAATACATCACTGTCATATTTACATTTAAGCAATTATAGCTTGACTTTTAGCAAAAAGCACTTCCCCTTGTATAACAACTTTATTCTCTTACCAAGCACAGGCAGAATGCATAGGAAAACAAAGTGTTTTAGCAAATACATTAACTTGTTTTAACTCTGGTATTTTTGCTTGCTAGCACTCTTTGCTACTATATAAAAAATTACATAAGGAAAATTTCATATGACAGTGCGGGAGTGAAGCATGCAAAAGCCACAGCAGAAATTTCTAAATAATGAAAAATTAGTTCAACCAATAAAAGATGAGCTTTGTACGCTTTCAGGACCAGTGCTTGTCAACATCTTTATCAATGACACAGATAGCAAGATCAAGTGCACCATCAGCAAGTTTGCTGATGACACTAAGCTGACTGGTGAAGTTGATACAACAGAAGAAATGCCATCTGAAAGGACCTGGAGAAGCTTAAGAAGTGGGTCCAATTGAACCAAAGTTCAACAAGATCAAGTGCTAGGTGCTGCACTTGTGTCAAAGCAAACCCTGATATGCCTCCAAGCTGGGAAGAGAACTCACTGAAGAGTAGTGTTGCCAAGAAGAATTTGAGAGTCCTGGTGTACAAAAAGCTGGACATGAACTAGAAGTGTACACTTGTGGCTTGGAAGGCAAACTGCATCCTGGGCTGTATCAAAAGGGGTGGCCAGCAGGGCAAGGGAGGTGATCATTCACCTCTGCTCTTATGAGGCTCCATCTGGTGTATCATGTCCAAGTTTGGAGCCGCCAGAACAAGAAAAATGTGGAACTTTTGGAGCGGGTCCAGAGGAGGGCCAGAAAGATGATCAAGGGGCTGGAGCACTGTTCCTATGGAGAAAGGTTGAGATTACTTTCATGCCAGGAGATGGCAGGGAGAAACCTTTGAACTGTCCTCTAGGAATCATGTGGAAACTGCTCAGAAGAGATAAAGTTACCAATGCCCCATCTGAAACCTTCTCGTATTTCCCTGGGAAGCAGTGGGGGAAAACTTCAGATTTCTTCCAGAGGTTTTGAGAGAGGGCCCATCTAGAAAAATAGTGTGTCAGAAGGCCTACCTGAACTTTTACATCAATGCATGCATCATGAGAAATAATCAGGTGGAGCTGGAATGAGTGATGTACTTAGAAAATTAGGATCTAGTTGCTAACACAGAAATGTGGTGGGATTACTCCCATAACTGGAATACCACTGCAGAGGGATATGGCCTTTTTAGAAGGATAGGCTAGGCAGGAAGGGGGGGCAGAGTTGCCCTCAACATTACGTTAAAGACTGGATGGATTGTGAGGAGCTCCCTCTGAGAAATGGTGAGAAGCGGGTTGAGAGCCTGTGGCTTAGAATTAGGGATAGAACTAAGAAAGCACATCTGGTGGTAGAGGTCTCCTGCAGGCTACCAGATCAAGAGAAACCTTCTTCCTTCAGTGCAGGAGGCATCTTGTACACAGGCATCTGTCTTGATTTCAACCACTCAGTTATCTGCTGGGAAAACCTCGCAGCGAGCTGCAAGAGATTTAGGAATCTCCTGAGGTCCGCCGACAATAACTTTCTGGTTTGAGTACTAGACAGAAGAAGTGAAGTGCTGCTGGACCTGGTGCTCACCAATGCAGAAAAGAACATTAATGGCATTGAGATTTGAGGCAGTCTAGGCTGCAGCAACCATGCCCTAGCTGAGTTTGTGATCTCAAGGAATGTGGGCCTGGCAAAGAGTGGAATCAGGACCGTGAATTGTGGGAGAGCAGACCTCAGGCTGTTTAAGGAACTGCTGGATGAGTTCTCCTGGGAAGCTGTCCTTAGAGACAAAGGAGTGGAAAAAAGCTGGCTACTCCCTGTCCCTTAGAATAAGTGGGCAGGGGAGGCAGGAAACTGGCATGGCTTGGCAAGGACCTGCTGGTCAAACTGAGGGAAAAGTACAGATTGTACCAGCTGTGGAAACAAGGGTATGTCACCTGGGGACAATACAAGCCAAGGCGCAGATGGAACCAAACTTGGTGAGGAATGTTAAAAACAAAAAGAAGGGATTGTATAGGTACATTGACCAGAAGAGGCACACCGAAAAGATCATATCTCCTTTGGTAACTGAAAAAGGAGAACTGGCTACAACAGATATGGAGAAAGCTGAGGTACTAATGAGTTTTTTCATCTCGTTCTTCTCTGGCAGCCAGGATTCTTGTATTTCTCACATCTCTAACATTTACATCCCTGGGTCTCTAGGTGGGAACTGGGGGAGCAATTCCCACCCTTGCTGCAAGGGCAGAGCAATTCTAAGACTGCCTCATGAGACCAAATGTATAAAAGTCTATGGGACTGGATGACATGTATTTCATGGCTGTAAAGGAGTTGGCTGATGTGGCTGCTGAGCTGCTCTCCATCATATTTGAAAAGTCAAGGCTGTCTGTAAGAGATTATTATTTTGCATCATCATTGTCTCAAAGCTTGCTGAGGACACAGATGAACAAGTTCAGGCAAGTCCTGGGCAAGGGTTGTGAAATCCTTTGTCTGGAGAAGTTTGATGGACAAGTCTTGGGCAAGGACTGTGAAATCTTTTGTCCGAGGGTCACAGATGGACTGGGCCGGAGGCAATGAGAGAGAGAGAAGCTGCAGCTTAATAGCTGTGAAGTGGTCTTTTGTGTGAGCTTATCTCGAGGAAGATGGCCATCTCAGGAAGTACTCAATGACTCCTGCTCAAGCGCCCAGGGATGTCACTTAGGCAGGAGAAGAAGTAGGATAAAAAGAGGAATCGAAAACCATGAGGATGGAGGGTTTTCTGCCATCAGATCCCTCGCCACGGAATTCTTGCATGCTGACGGACTCTCCTGGGCCTACTACCTGAATCCTGCTGCTGCTTCTCCTCCTGGATTGGCTCTGCGACTTCTTCCTGCTACCTGTTGCTGCCCCAGGCCTTCCACGCTGCTGCTCTCCCCCCCTGCTGCTTCTGCCTCGGACCTTCAGAACGTCGTGCAAGGGGACCGCCGCTGGATCCTGGTGGTGACTATCCCCACTTCACGGCATTCTTACTTTTTCCTAGCTTTTCTATCACCCTCCTTTCCTTCCCCGTCTCCCTGATTAGGACTTATAATAAACTGGTTGGACTAACATATGAACCATTGTTTCTTAATCTCACACCGGGTATGCAGATTTTAAAAGAAACTCATCTCCCTCCTATAAATTGGAGCGAGACACTGTCGGGTGAAGTCCCTGAGGAATGGAAAAAAGGAAACATCACTCTCATGTACAAGAAAGGGAGGAAGGAGGACTTGCAGAACTACAGGCTGGTGAGCCTCACCTCTGTGCCTACGAAGTCACATAACAGATCCTCCTAGAAGACACACAAAGGATGAGCAGCAGATCTGAGGAAGCCAGGATGGCTTTATCAAGGGAAGCTCATGTCTGACCAGTCTTGTGGCCTATGACGGAGTGTTGACACTGGTGAACAGAGAGAAGGTGACCAGTGTCATCTACCTGGCCTTGTGCAAGGCCTCTGACATGGTCCCCCACAACATCCTTATCTCTAAATTGGACAGATATGGACTTGAGGGATAGACTATCTGGTGAATAAGGAATTGGTTGGAATGCCATAGACAGAAGATTGTGGTGAATGGCACCATGTCGATGTGAGGGCTGGTGACGAGCAGTTTCCTCCCAGCGATCTGTCTTGGGACTAATGTTCTTCAATATCTTCATAAGTGACACTGATGACGGGTTTGAGTGCACCCTCAGCAAGTCTGCTAATGACACTAAGCCTAATGGTGCAGCTGACATGTTAGAAGTGAGCCACCCAGAGAGACCTAGATCAAAAGGTGGGCCTGTGTCAACCTAATGACACTCAATATATTAAAGTGTGAGGTTTTGCATTTGGGTTGGAGTAATCCCAGATAAATGTACAGACTGGGAGAACTCCTTGAGAGGAGCCCTGTGGAAGAAGGACTTGAGGGCTCCAGTGAATGAAAAGCTGGATATGAGCCAGCAGCATGCATTTGCAGCCTGGAAAGCCAACAGTATCCCGAGTTGCATCAAAAGAGGGATGGCCAGAAGGGACAGGGAGGTGGTTGCCCCCCTCTATTCTGTCCCTGGAAAGCCACATCTGGAGAACGGTATCCAGGCCTGGGGGCTCCCAGGACATGAAGTCAGCGGAGTTATTGGAGTACGTCCAGAGGAGGACCACAAAGATGATCAAAGGACTGGAGAACCTCTCCTATAAGGGCAGGTGTGGGAGCAGAGTTTGTTCAATGTGGAGAAGAGAAGGCTGAGGGCTGACCTCACTGCAGTCTTCCATCATTTAAAAGGAGATTATAAAAAGGAGGGGAATCAACTTTTTACTTGGATAGATAGTGATAGGACAAGAAGGAATTTCTCTTTTCTAGTCTTTGCAAGATGGGATCTTGATTCAGGACAGCTTATCTCTGCAGTGCTACTACCACTGTAAACAGAATGATTAAAACAAAAAACCTATGAGGCTTGCTTTTACATACATCCATATATTGCAGCAAATTTGTTACTATTAGTAATATTTATTTCTGTCTCTGAAGAATATATTTACCCTCATTTTTCCACTGTACTTTGGATCTGAAATTGTTTCAAAGGCTGCGTCTTTGCTTAACTTCATAAAATCTGGAAAACTGGAAAACACTTCATTGCAAACTCGTTTGATATGTGTTTCCTAAAAGAAAAGCAAAATTTTCAAAAGGTATTAAAAATCTGAATTACACTGGATAATATCAAACCATAAAACAAGTAATCTGCTGGAATAATTCAAATAGATTGCTTATTTATTTTTATTCAGTCAGCACAGAAACACTGGAAACACATTTTCAGTGTGTTTTGGTTTGTCTCATTTGAAAAGGAGAGAAAATTGCAATCTGGAAGAATGGATTCCAGCTACCAGATTAAGAGATGGCCAAAATTTCTTCCTCTGGGCAGAGACTACAACAGAACTGGCCAGAACTGTCAGTTTCAAGAGCTGTTGGCTTGAAATTTGCATAGCCCAGCAGTTGTGTATCAGCATTCCTCTTGACCCCCTGGCATAACTGCATTTCTGGGAATCTTTTTTCTACAGTTCAACTGATATGACAAAAAACAAAAAATGGAAAAAAAATGGATTTAAACTACCCAAAAGTCAAGTAAAACTCTACTGCTAGAACTGGGTAACTCAGAACTAGAATGCAACCACACACTTTAAGTCTCCTTTTCCAGAAGAGCGGAAAATACCTCATCTGTTACCCAAGAATTACTCTGAAATGTTTTTACAGTAAAAACTGCATATACAAAACAGAAAAAAAAAAAACAACAACAGTAAAAACACTTGGGTATTTACAGTTTACAACCCTGAAGCCCTAGCAGTAAAACTTCCTAAAAAGCAAAATTCTTTTAATGGTTACTTGCCAGGAAAACAAGATAAATTAATATTGTTCTCTCCCTGTTTTACCAAAACATTTCTCATATTATTTAGAGAAACTCTGCTTGGAATATAAAATTCCAGAGAAAAAAAACCATTCTCTTTGTTTATTATTTATTTGCACAAAGACCTACCTCTCACTTCCCAGAAATGCAACAAAAATGGGATTATGAAAAATCACTAAAAATGACTTTCTCCTCAAGCTCTCCATTGTTAAGGCAAACCCCATTTTCAGATACTCATCAACTGAAACTAGAAATGTGTTAATATTTTTATCTATTAAATAAGGACTACATTCTCAATTACTGACCAGAAAATAATTTTGCAAAATATCTGCATTTCAGTAAGTTGAGGCTGAAAGAGAAGCCAACAGCAATTTTTATTCAAGAACTTTCATCTCATTTTCCAAACGTTCACTTTTTAAGTACTTCCAAAACTAACCTGCTGCTTGCTAGTGTTGTCTGTCTGCAGCAATGCAACATGATTTGCAACTTTCTGTAGGATTGTCAAGTAACTGAATTGCAGTGACTTGATTGTTTCACCATGGGAATTCATCTATAAAACAAAACAAAAAAACAAGCAAAACCAACAAATATCCCTAATGCTTTCAAAAACAAACTTTCCTAAAAATAAGAAATACACTAAAATACTATTTCAAGAAGATTCAGTGCATTAGGAATTCAAATAATACAAAAATGGATTCCAAATGATTTATTTCTAGCAAAAATGAGGTATGTTCTTCTTCTCAACATTATGCTTCTATTAATAGGAAGTGGCTTTTCAAACAAAAAAAACAAAAAAACCCAACTGTTTGATAAACATTTCAGACAGTATGACATATACAGAAATTGTTACAATAACCAAGAATTCCTTGGTAAGAAAAAAAGACAGTAACTTTACAATTTAAATAAATGTAAAGCCAACTAGTGCTGTTTGAACTATTCCTTAACCTACAACTGCTTACTTTACTGCAAAAAATTTGTGGACTCTCATAAACATCTCAATTAACATAATCAACTGAATAGTTAAATAGCAGTAACAGCTATTTTTCTGGTTATAGTCGATTGATTTATCAATACTGGTTTCCTTTCCCTTCTCAAGTTACTAAATTTCATGTTTAAATTTGGAGTAAGACTGTCCATAAGAGCAACACAGGTATCCACAGATCTGCATAAATTGAACAAAGCTCAACAGCATTTTTTTTCTACAAAACAATCATAAGTAAAGCTTGCAAAGAACTAATGCTAGTTTTCATAGCATATTTCAACAGGACAATAGACTGTTTTCAAATAAAGATGCATAAGACTAAGTACACTACATTACTTTGGAAACAAAAAAGAAAAGAAAAACAGTACACAAGAACCTAAACAGTTCAGAAATAAAAGAAAGAGAAAATATTTAAAAGGCATTCTGAGTCTACTAAGAGATATGGAGGAAAAAAAAAACCAAAGCTAGATCTATCAGCATTAAAGAAGTCCAAAGAAGGAATAAATCTGCAGAGCTGTTCCTAGTGAATAACGTTCTACTTGCATTGTAAGATAGTTGTTTTTACAGCTCTCCCTCCATAAGGTAAATCAAAGCACATTTTTAGGAGCAATGAGACAATCCAAATGTAATGACAAAACTATATCTCAGACAATCTGCTGGGTCCAGGAGGTCTCTTATTTGCAGCTACTGTACTGACCATCTAAGGTGCATGGCAATCGCATATCTGACAAGTATAAAATGTCCCAATGTAAAACCCCTTCCAACACCAACTACATGGTAGGTGTATTTAATACAACACATCTCAAATATACTGTATTAATAATGACCTTTTGTTTAGGGCATGCAAAGCAGTTATGCTGTAATCCTCAAGTGCCTGACTTCAGCACAACACAATGTTTCTAGTCAAGATTTCAGATGCCTTAAGACCACACAGTCACTTCAAGCTGCTCCTCATCAGCAAGAGCATATTGAAAAATACCTATCCCCTGCTCAAACCAGAATGTCTACAAACTTCAGACAATTAAAGTTCTTACTTTGTAACAACAATTCTTCCTTATACGGCCGCTGTTGCAGCTGCAGGGTTCTCCTGCTCTTAATACTAGGCTTACATCCTCTGTCTTCAGCACAGCCTGGTATACTGCTTTCTGGAATTCTGTCAGGGAACAGTACACCATCTGGAAAAGTAAACGTCCCAAAAATGCAGTTACATGCAGCATGAAATTAGAAACACAAAGCACTGCACCAAAACAATACAAAAACAACAAAGCATGAAGCACTGCACATGAGGTAGAAAACAATAATATATTTGCACAAACATTGATGGAAAGTTATACTACCCAAATTAAAAACAAAACCACCTGTACGCTCACGGAAGTATTTGGAAATTATATCCAAAATGAATGTAAACTTATTTTATCCCTTCCCAAAATTTTAGAAAAAGCATCAATATCAAGTTATAATAACCTGCTATTAGGTTTCTACAAACCTCTCAGTCGGGCTTTTGTGGAAGACTAAGAGAACGAAGGAAGAGTGACAGAAATAAACGCATAATTATAATACAGGATTCCCTCTTTTTGCCAGTTGCTTAATTTGCCCTTTCTTTTCTCTTTTTAGGCTCTAGCTGTTTGCAAGGCAGTATCACAAGCAGGACAAACAATGAGCATTGAGAATGCAGTGCTCTATACGCGGCTATGGCTAAACACTTATCCCTCCTCTCTGAGACAATGGGTGGCATCTCCATGACATCTTTAGTCTTAACCAGCAGGAGACAGATATCTGAAGATCATTCCCTAACCAAGGCCACCTACATTGCTACAGCACCATGCTGAGCTATAATAATACAGCAGTAACTTGAACATATACTCCAAGAGAATGGAAATAAAACCTGCTAGATTTACAAAGACAACTGACTAATGTTTGTGTTAATCTTCCCTTTACAAGGCAGTTTAGATGACATTATAATAATCCAAGGATGAAGAACAAATACAAAATTTTGAACACAAAAACATCTGAAAATTAATGTGTTCATCTACTTAGAAGGGAATATATCTAATAAGAATAATCAATTTTAGCTATAAAGTATTATTGATTTATATGATGTTTACAATAACACTAAATGAAAAAGATTACAGATTAAGATAATTGTCTTTTATCTGGCAAGTTTCCCTCTACTTCCTGATTGAAAATGAGAGTTAAAAAAAGATTAAAAGCAAACTGTTCTATTTACAAAGTATCAAGCTGCAAATTCAGAAATCCTACATCAAATTTCAAGAGATTTATATACACTGAATTTGCAAAGATACATACAAAAGGGCACATAAAATATATGTATAAATCACTAGCCAAAAGTTTAGCTGACTATTTTCATGCTTAATTAACTCTATTTCAGTAAGCAATCATAGTAATTATACAACAAAGTACACAACCTTACATGCATTCTTTCTAAGGCTCTAGATTCTTCTCAATTTTTTAAGTCCAAGAGAAAATCATAAACTAGCAGAGGTATGATGAAAGAGAGAAAACAACAAAAAGAACAAAAAAGATATATTTGAAGTATATGGGCGCTCTTACTCTGTCTTCTTTTTTTGGCAACTGATCACTGATAAGCACTTTTGTACGTCTCAGAAACCAGCTAGACATTTTTCTTGCTAGCTTCACCATCGCCTTACGACCTGTTGCTAGCTCTCTTTTAGTTGCAGTGTGCCTCTGGCCACGCTCCACTGGATCAGAAAATTTCTTCTTGAAATGCACTCTACTACCCAAAAGTCCTGGTACAGCCCTATGAAAAGGAAATAAAATCAGCAAATAAACAAAAAAATCACCAAAAAAACCCCACCAAAATAATAAAAACATTGGGAAGGGGTTGGTTATGAGGGAATTGCAACATCTTCAAGGCTACCTATGCTTTTCCAATGATTAAAAGCACACTATAAATTGTTTTGGCTTACAATAAATGTTTCTGGACTAGCAAGAAATTTTTACTCCCAAGTAAGTTCAGAATGACCTGCACATACTGGAGAAAACAAAGACACAATGTTGTCCAAAGTTACGCAACAGATCTTTTGGAGGGAGAGGGAGGGAAGGCATCCTTAGTAAACAAAGATAAATAAAAGGAAAAAAAAGTATTTTATTTACCAGTCCATGACACACCAAAGTTCCTTCATATTGTTTTGAAGAATGGTTCCGGTAAGGCCTATGCGAACACTGCATTTTAAGGACTTCATTGTTTGAGTTATTTGAGACTTTGGATTCTTGATTCTGTGCACTTCATCCACTATGACAGCAGACCACTCTATACTTCATAGCAAGAAAAAGAATTCTCCCTTAATTGAAATCACATATCTCATCACTTCTCATACACAAAAACTGACATCAGTCACATGTACAGCCTTGATTATTATAACAAAAAACAAAAAGTATTTATTTTTGCTTTCTTATTTTATATACATTATATACATTTTATATACACTACCTATTTTCTTGTCTGTTTAGTAAATTCAATCATAATGGCTAAACTACACAATAAAATAGATGAACTATTGTCAACTGTATCAAATATTTTCTGTGAAGAAAGCAGCTGTTCATTTCTGGACAGACACATTACCAGCACTAATTCCAATCTTAAGTAAGATTTAGAATAACAGTATAAATCTCTTAATGTGAGCTTCTAAACTGTGATTAGCACAGTTGTGTTTTGCTTTTCCTAACAATATCCATCCAGATAAAAACATGCTGAAAGCATTTCTAATGACAGTTTACTACCTGAAAGCATCACTCAATTACTTTGAGACCTGTATGATTCCAACATGGTGAAGGAATTCTAATATTTCGCGATTTTGAAACCAAAAGGATCGTAGTTAGAAGTTGAGATTGAAAGATACTTTGCAAGCAGATCAAGTAAAAATTCGGTGGAAAACGAACTGTATTCTGTGATATGAATTTTAAATAACTAAGTCCCTAGGAAGAAACAAATTTATGAGACAGCTTTATATGCATGGATATTTCAGAACAAATTCATTTCCATGCTAAGGTTACTTGCAGCAGCCATGTTTAGAAAGAAATCTCTCTCCTGATTGGGTTTCATAAATTTTAGATGACTATTTTGAAAACTGATCTTGTGACATGTATGATACCTGTTAACTACTTTCAATCAAATCTGAGTTTATGATCTTGCTAAAATCTGCTAATTATTAATGACAAATACTAAAGACCAGTTTGATGCCTACTCATCATTCTATCTAAGAAAAATGCACAGCCTTTAAGAATGTTCGATGAACACTGAATGCCTATATGGATACATGCTTGGCAGATTGAATAAAGGTAAATCCTTACACTGAAGCAAAGCATTCATTCACACATAAGTCCTGTTGCACTGACATGGGCTGTGCACATGCATTTATCTTCCAGCCACCAGATGTTTAATGTCTCCTATCTGCACTTCTTTTTCAGACGTGCACAAAGAGAGCTGGAGATCAGGCTTTTACTGGTTATGACTATTCAAAACAGTAAGACATTCTTTGAGGCTCACAACCCTTTCAAATCACCTAGCATGGGCACTGCAAGACCAAGGGCAACACTAGCTATTGCATTCTGCCTCTATCAGCTAGCAGAAATGTTCATGCAGTTTGTATCTATTTCCAAGATGTAACAGTCCCAGTGATCCTCTTTCACTGAGTGAAGGGTGAAGTTCTTAAACATAACAAAAGGAAGGGCAAAACTCCTCTGTTTTAAAATACTGGCAGCTATAGAACAAACAAAGGACTTATTTTTAGGACTTAGGAATTCAATAAATTAATAAATTAATAAATATATTTCTCTTCTGCAATGCAATGACTCTTACTTGTTAAGTTCATCTAAATACAGGCGAAGAGTCTCATATGTTGTAAGGGCAACTTCACATTTCCCTTGCTTGATACGATTCAAGTCATCTTCCTTTTTACTGCCATGTAACACAGAGACCTTGAAGTACCCCCATGTGTCCAACTCATCCTTCCAGTTGTACAGCACTGAAAGAGGGGCCACTATGAGAAAAGTCTGAAATATATGACATAGATGTTATAGTATTACTGGAAGATCTACAGCTCAACACTTTCTCAATGTGAAAAGTCATAATTTTAAGATTTATCTTATTACTTCATAGTCTGAACTATTAAATTGTGTTGCTTCAAAGTACAGTATAGAAAATACCTGAATATTTATATAAATTCAGAAGTAATGAGTTTACAGAATGTGTAAATGCTACAGAAAAAAAATACACTAATGCTACACAAAGTATCCAAAGTTACACTGGTATTACTGCAATAAGACATGATATACTATCACACTGTTTTATTATAACATCTATTACAAACACCATTCAGTGTTTTAGAGGTGGAAAAAACAATGGTAAGGAAGTTCCTCCAGGCCATAAATCTAGTCAATACATGAGAAAAGGTATCAAAAAAGGTTTAAAAATTTAAGACAGCCTGTACAATATTATCATAGAATAATAATAACAGTTTCTAGACCAGCTTTCCAGTCAAAGAAGGGGCTGCACTGAATTTAAACTTTTAGAACTTTTGTCACTGAGGTCTATAATATCCTTCAAGGACGTAAGATCCCACAACCTCTCTTTGTTACCTGTTCCAATACATAATTGTCCTCAAAGTAAATTACTTCTTCTCTTAGAGCCAGTCAGAAGCACTCATGTTTTTTCACATAAAGTGATATCCTTTCACCTCTTCCTTTCTCTTTGCCTGAATTTACAAAGGAACAATTTTTTTTTTTTCACAGAAATACAGTCATAGAATCATTCTGCCACTCAAATTTCCAAAAACATAAAATATCAATGGAAATCAGGAGTTGCATTTGTCCTCTCATGTTAAATTAACCAAACACTGAAAATCAGTATATGTTAACTCCAAAAGCTAGCAAACAAACAACAAAACAAGTATTGCTTTTTATCAAAACTCCTGAAGTTTTATCAGTAAAAAGCTGTACCTTGTTAGGGTTACATTTTGATTCTTTTTTCACTGTCCTTTGTAAAAATTTTGGCATATTGTTTTCAATATCTTCACGTGTTCCTTTTTTGTGTAACACTGCAGCCAAAAATGAAATGACCTTCAGAAAGAAAACAACTCTCAGTAATTATGTACAAAAATGCAGACAGAAAATGAACAAGTTCCACAGAAAATACATATTTCAGTCAATATCCTGAATAGGATTTCATTTGTTAATATACATATTTCTTTTTTTTTTTTTTTTAATTAATCTCATTTTTAACTGAGAAACCTGTGTTCACAATAAAAGCATTTAATTGCTCCATATTTCACTTTCATTTTCTGAGTGGAAAATCCTCAAAAATACAGTATAGAAGATAAAGGAGACAGGAAGAGATAAGGCATGTCTTGCAGTTTTCCTGGAAATGACAAACACGTGAATCTTAGATGAGGAAGCAGTAGGATGAGTTAATGTGTTTTTTTGTATGTTCCATCCCTCAAATTCTTGTTCTTGAATTCAAAAGCAGTTCATTTGGCCATGTTCAAGTCTGTACTCATTCAACTACCTCAAACCAGCCAGTGATCTTTACTTTCCTTTAATAAAGAGAAGATATTTACACCACAGTGGTGACATTCTAGACAACATTATTCCGAGCTCTGCCATGGTAATATAAAGCAGGCAGAGGACAGAGGTATCTGGCTAGAATATTTTAATCTCTAAAACCCACTTAGGATAAACAACATCCATGGAGCTAAGCTGAAGTAAGAACCAGAGGCATCATCAGAAATGTGTCCCTCTTTTTAAGTTCAACAGGCCCCCTCTGCTCAGGATGGCCAGCTCTTTTGCAGTTGCTACACAGACGCTTGGTGCAGGACAGAGGTAAAGTTTTCAGCTACTAAATCAAATAGTTATTTTCTTTTCTCCCTCCAATGATGGGAGGAAGAGCCAGTAGTACAGAGCTGGTTGAAAAGCATCTGAGAAGGACAAAAATATTCAAGACGACGACAGGAGAACCCATCATACAACAGAGCTATATGGGAAAGAGACACATGGAAGAAACTAGAAACATTTTAATGTGCAACATTTCATATAGTCATGAGAGACTAGGAAGCTGCTGCAAGTTTGTACATGTTGCTTCTTCAGCATTATTTGGCTGAATTTTATCCTTACTCTCAATAGGACTAAAAATAAAATCTGCATGTTTTTTCAGATCTTCCATTTTTGGAAGAATTATGCATCACAAATTTGTAAAAACAGTAAAGGGGCAATTCTGATGAGAAACCTTTGGCTCTTTCAGATAAAGCTAGGAGGCAATCTAAAGTCATTGACAGGAAGCTTTAACTTACTGCAATCCTATTACAACATATCATTATTCGACTTACCTTCACTACAACTCAAAATGAAATAGCCACACACTAAAGTGAATTCAAACAAACAAACAAAAAAACCATTTCAAAAGGAGAAAGTACATTACAATACAAAAGTCTTGAAGAAAAGCCTTTTTCTCAGGTACCCTGTAATTTAGAAAAGATTCTTATTCCCATCACCTTGTAATTTAGAAATCGTAATATTCAGTCAAGTTATAAGCAAAAGCAAAATTTTCTAGAAAACTGTAAATCAATTAGCTGGTACTCCGTGAAGTTTAATTAATATTTATTCCTTCACACAGGGGTATCTATAAAAACAAGTAAACTCATCTACTAATTCATGTCTTCTGAGCTCCTACCATACTACACTTGAGGAATACAAATACTCTGTTTTTTAGAAAGGAATATTTAAGGCAGTACTCAAAAACTGTATTTTTCTTCTATAAACTTGTCTTCTATAAACTTATGATTAAAATGCAAATTCTACAAAGGAACACAGTGCCACTGTGTGACAAACATGACTTGTTCATTACAGAATCATCCATGAGATTCAAAAAAAGAGGTGGAAACAGGACAGCTTTGTTTTTCTCCTGATTTTTTTTTTTTTACCTAATACAAATGTTTCTTTCAATATTAAGTTGGATATTTGCAGTTCTTGAGTAACTACTGATTTACTGAGCTGCCATGAACAAGGAATGCATCTGAGATAAGGTGAAGCACAAGGTAAATGGAGCTAGTTTAGTTATATCTAATATGTTAACAGATCAGCAGCAGCTCTCTACACATGAACAATACTCCTCTTAAAACTCTATTCAGGCAAGTTCTGCCAATTTAGTTCATTTACTTCTCTTGCAAAGTTTGCTAAAGAACATCTGTACATAGAAGGAAGTCTCATCAGCTGACATTCTCCTAAAAGGATGCACAAGACACGTCACAGCCAGTATTTACCAGCAAAGAAATGAGCTTGCATTTCACAGAAAGGAAGAGCAATGAGAGATGGACAAGGATTATTTGTAATAGGACTCAAGGTGCTAGCTTAAAACCAAACAGATTGAAGGGAATCATTTCAAACGTAAAAACACCCTAATTTTAGAAAAATAAGTGAATCAATTGGGCTGCAATTATTCAAAGCATAATGAAAAAATTCAGCCATTCCTTGCCTCTTCATCAGAGTTCGCATTTCCAACAATGATAAAAATATTATGTAACACCTAAGTACTTTTTCCAGAGGGGGTAGTACATGCATCTTCCTTTTGTTCCCAGTAAGTACAGTCAAACTACTCGTTTTCAAGAAAAAAAAGTAAAAGGACATTTTAAGACCTGTTAAGTGGTGTATGTACTAATAGCATTCTGCAGTGCAACAACCTATTTTCATGTGTGGGTATCAATCCATAAAATATATTCAACATAACACAAACATTAATTAACATCTTAACTGCCACAACTACCAAGCTTTACAGTACAAACGATCACATCCCAATTTTGTGGAGTGACAGAAGCTTATCTTAAATTAGCAATGACTTCCACCCCTGAAGTATCATCACAGCCACATCCTGCCTCCTCCGACTTCATGCCAGAAAAGGGAGAGAAAGCTTCAACAACACGGCTTTTATTTAGTAAGTCAACTTAAAAAATAAATATTCTTCACAGAAAACATGCTGCTAAAAAGCAAATAAATGAATCTATTGTCTCAATGTTCTTATAATAAAATAAATACCTGTACTGTCTTTCCAAGGCCCATATCATCTCCAAGAATGCATCCCTTTTTATTAGCATAGTGCCAATAGAGAAACTGGGCTCCTTCCCTTTGATAACTACGCAGGTATCTATTAATTGTATATGGGATAAAATCACCATCATCAGATAACTTAAAAGCAACTGCTGAAGATGGAAGATTTTGTCCAGGAAAATAAGGCTTTTCCAGGTCACTGTCATCAAATATTACGCTCTTCCAGGAACATCTGCCAGCTTCAACTCTACAGAGCTCAGATATTAGTATTTTCTTGTCTTCAGATTCCAAGAATGATACAACAGCAAATGATTTTCCGTTCTTGTCCTTTTCAATTGATGATATTGTTCCTTCAGAAAACTTTCCATTTTCAGGACAAGGTGCAAGGCATCTCTCCCCAACATGCCATCTATCTATGGAAACAAACAAAACAAAACAACAAATAAACAAACAAAAAACACAATGAAAAACTGGACAAATGCACAAAGTATTATATTTGGAAACACTGATCTAAACATTAGATACTAACTCATTTGATGAAAGGCATATAACTCAAGTTTACATGCATTTCAAGGCTCAATTCAAGGCAGCACTAGAATTACAATACTGATTACTGGTTAGAACCAAATTCCAAGATAGGCACATTACTGTTTGTATTGCTGTTTTTAAAATACCTGGAAGCCTGCCTGGAAAAAACCTCATGTAAACACTGATTAATAAGTTTCACTTGACAAGCCCACACTGACAAGACACTAACAGGGTTAGCATCCAATTAATAAACCATGTCATCTGTTTTAAAATACCATCTACAACTGATAGCACTTGTCATCTACTTGAATCCAGTACTTCAGTTTTATTAAATTGTTTCACAAATACAACCATGCATGACGCACATTGCTCTTTATAATGTCTAGCATTAGGAAAAAAAAAAAACCTTATTTCAGAAGTAACAGAAGTGTACTCTAAGAACACAGACAAGGATAGCATTTGCTTATGTCCTTCTCCAATGTGGGTAACTGACTGAATTCCTTATGCAGCTGTAAAGTCTTCAACTATCAAAATCTCTTTCTCTGTAAGGTCTAACCCCATTAATACTGCATACCAAACATTAACAGAGAAAACTGAGCTGCTTCTTTTATTTTTTTATTTTTACCTTTTTTTTTTTCATTTTTCGTACAATCTTTAAATGGTGCATGTGTTGCTAACAGAGAAAGAAAAATATAAGACCAGCACTGTAAATGAGTTAAAAGAATTCATACTGTACTGACAAGGAAGTATCTAACAAAATATTAGAAAAAGCAAGGCCTTCACAGTAGGTGAAAAACAACAACAACAAAAACAACAGAAAAAGCAGATACAATTAATATCAACTACATGCAAAGTTCTTAAAATCTGAATTGAGAAAGTGTGTCTTTGAATGACTTGAAGTATGAGTAAGGAGATTTCCTGGGCCAGGTATGGTTACTTTATTTACCAACAGTGAACCTTTTTTCCAAGTAGCTTTGTCCTTCCTTCAACACACGCAGATTTCCTGCACTTAGTGTCCTCCAACTAATGTATGAGTCTCACAGGTCTGCTCTCTAATGTGCGAGAAAATTTTGTCTGCTATAAACTTGCACCCTAAACCAATGGCCCAGTAGTTCTTACACTAACTACCTCACAAACTAGAGTCACTCCATTAGATCAATGTCTCTACAGAACACTCATACCATCCCTACATCATCCTTGCTAAGACTAAGTTTCATTCCACACCCTGTGCCCTGCATATAAGACACTACGTACCTTCTCCAAAATATCTGAAGCTGAAAATAATGTTTTGAAGCAAACAGTTAAGTATAGACAGTATATTCAGTAAAATATAGTCAATTATTCTCCTCTTGAAATATTTGTATATGTACTGCCTCAAAAATATGACCAAATTCATGCACAAAAAACTTACGATCTTCTCCCAATACCATCTGTACCTTTGGGCAATTTCTCAAAATTAAGAAGGAATACTGAAAAACAAAACAAGCAATATACAGATCTCTGCTAAATATTCAAAACAAAATTTAAAATAGAGAGCATTTTCATTATTACTCTCTTTCCAGTAATATCTGAAGTGACACACAGCATTTAAATGTTCGGGTTAATACTACAATTTTATATGACAAAGCCTTTGTTTCTTAACATTTATTGAGTTGTATACACTGCATATGACTTGTGCAGAGCAGAATAAAGTGTAATGGAGAGTAAACTGTAATAACGAATTTCAAACTAACAAAGAAGGAACAAAGTGACAAAAAAAAAGGAAAGTGGCAAAACAGCAGTATTAAGAATGACAGTACTACAAGATTCTGGAAAATAACGCTGTATAAACCAAAATAAAAACTGCTACACTATCTTCTTCTTTTGAACAATCATTTATGTAGGATAAAACCTCTGCAAAACAGGACATCTATCTGTTGCAGCTTCCCAGCATGGCCATCAACGAAAATATTCAAGATGACTGCTTATATCTAGTCTGTTGCCATATGTGAGGAAGTGCACCATGACACATATTGACCATTTCGGACCACGATGATAACGGCCCACAGTCACAGATGAGCTCATTTCACTACTCCTATACAAAATAAGCAAAACGCCACAAATGCTTTTTAACTACTGAGATTTGACAACTTAATGAAGAATGTAACGTTTTTTTACACTCTAATAAGTCACCATAAAAGCAAACTTGTGATACCATAATGGAAAAGCATTATCTTTTCTCAATCTGAGGCCTAACTGCAAAACCACTAAACATATGAGATTAATTGACGCGTCCTCTAAAAGATGCTTCAGCATTTACATTTCGTGTCCACTTCAAACACACACTTTCAATCTTCCCGAGGAAGAAATGCAAAACAGGAGCGTTTGTTGTAAGGGAACGTCACTAAGCCGTGCACCGCCGCACTCCTCCCAGCGTCGCTCTGTTGCCGGGTGAGGCAAAGGGCTGTCAGCACACCCGTGGGACAGCTGCCCCACGCGGGACGCCTCTGCCCCGCGGCCCACACTCTGTGAACGAAGGGCAAGGCGCCCGGTGACACCCAGACCCGCTCTTTCGCAACCCGGGAGCCCACGTCAACCCGCTTACCTGGCCACGCATCACCCATCGTAACTGACGTGAGTGCAGTTGTGGCGAGGAGCACCCCAGCAGCGGGGCCGGGACTCGCGGGACGCTCACGCTCCCGAAGGGCAGCCGAGAGACGGGCACCGCTCGGCGACCCCGCGGCGAAGCACGGCCGGGAAAGGGCGCGGGAAGCCGGCAGGACGCTGAGCAGCCACCGCACGCGCCGCGCCTGCTGAGGACATGTTGCACCGCTCCGCCTTCACTCAGCTCGGGCAGATTCACGTTACCGTCTGACACAGCCCCGCGGGACGCTGCCGCACGCGCAGCCGGAAAAGCCGCAACCGAAGCGGCGGGGCGGGAGCGATCCCGCGAGAAGAGCGGCGGTGGCGCGGCCGCGGCTCTTCGTATCGCGAGGCTTGCGCTACTTCTCGCGAGAGTGGTAGGAAATCTCGGCCGCGGGCTGCCGGCTTTGGGCCTTAAGTGAGAAGTTTGCGACGCAACGCCTCGGGCGCGGTTCGGGGTCTTCGGGTTGACCTTCTCCGCCATTATGGTTTGTCACTGAGTTGTGGTGCAGCCGTCTGGGGCCCTTTTGTGGCACTGAGCCTTAGGACTGCCATGGGGCTGCTGTGGTGAGGCCGGCGTCTGGGTAAGGGCTGTTGGGGAGCAGCTCCTGTCTGCGCAGAGTGCAGCAGCATGGTGGTGCCCACACTGACTTAAAGGCGCTTTCGTAGGATGTGTGGAGAGTTGGATTGTAGTACTTGTAGTGCTGCTGCTGGGCAGATTTATGGCAGGTGAACAGTGTGATCTTGCACTTGAAGAGCCCCTGAATGGAGTGTTGCCAGCTTGAATAATTAGACATCTTGATACATACTAAATATATTTTTAATTGAATTTTCTTTTAATGCTGCTGTTGTTTGTAGCAATATCCATAGGGGAAGAAAAAAGAGATTGTGTTAGCAAGCCAGTAGGGGATCTAGTGGGTGTCATGGCACTTGCTGCTCTGAATAAAACACTTCTAGGAGCAAAGCACAGCAATGGATTCCTGCAGAAGTGAGTCTGTGTGCTTTTCTGCAGGGAGCAGCCACCTGCCTACTCTGAGAGGAATGAGGACTCAAGAGAACCCAAAGCAAGATGAAGTTCTTTCTGTACATCGTCTTTGTTGTTAGCTGGAATTTTGTTGTAACAACTTAATTAATTGTGTGTGGTGGTTTATGAGCCAGTGGTATTAGACTAACAGAAAAATAGCAGGCATGAAAGCACTGATAGAGTTGCTGCAGCAATAAGCTACATATATATTGGATACCATGTATGTTGGGGAAGGTTGTTCAAAAATACAATACCAATAAATTCAGTTGTTTTTAAAATACAGATGTAGTCATGTTTAGCTACATTGATTCTAAAGGAATGTGACAATAGCCAGACCATCATAAAAACAAAGCTGGAAACGGCATGATGTTTTGAAAATTTGGCAAAATAATAAGAATGTAACCCTCAGAAACTTAATGAATTTCAGCCCTCAAAGCATGTTAGAAAATTCTGCAGGAACATGTAAGTTGTCATTCTAAGGCAAACTTTTAAACTGGGTCATGTTTGAAGATAAATGTTTGTTCATACCATAGGGTGTTTACTTAATGAATATTATGTTGCATTTGACTATTATAGAGATAGTTCTGCTTAATGAGGATTCTTTCCTGTGGAGTGCAGCTGTTATTTTACTGTCAAAAACACAGTATTACAACGTCACAATAGGAGGAAATAAGAAACACATTAGTCTCTTGCTTAAATTTTTCTAATATTCATTAACCTAACAGGCTAATGTTCTGCCTGTGCTCATGTGGTCCCATTCTGCATTTAAGTCCATGGTAGGATGTCAGTGGCTTAGTTGGAGAAAGAACTGAAAATCCAGTGGATACTCCTAGTATTTGTCTCCTTTTCAGTCAGGTATATTTTGTAAGGCTTTCTCTCTTTGCACGGGCAGAAGAGGAAGGAATACATACTTAACAGGAACAGCTGATTCCTTTTATGCCTTGGTTAACTTTTATGCCAGTATGTAAAATTCTTCTCACAAATTACAAGCAGATTCTGTATCTTTAACACCTTTAGAGGAAAAAAAAAGGCTAGAAAATGGAAGTTGGCCCAGTGAGATAAAAACTTCTTTCATGAGGACATTCTTAAAAGCCCAGGCCCATAATGAAACTTTTCAGAAGTCAGTGAATTACTTACTTCTGTAATCTATCTTTTAAAGTTTTTAGAATATAGATGTTATTTCTAACTCAAGTTATTTTAATAGAAGCTATTTTCTAAGATATAAAAAACACCTCACACTGTGTGTTTCTGCAGGAAGAGATTTGTGAAAAGACTTTATTTTGAAAAACTATTGCTGTTGCTGAAAAGTTTAATATATCTAAACTGCATGTGAAAATTTGAACTTTGTTCATATTGACCTTAGATTTAGATTTCATAAGAGAAGTGTTAGATAAGAGCCAAAATGAATAGGAGAATGGGGATAAACACTTTTAAAAGATGTGCTATGTCTCTGAAATGTTCACGTGTAACATTGTAAAAGAGTTTGTTCATTTAAAAGTGGTACTAAGAGGAACACGATAATGTGATATGCACTGAACAAATGCTTTGGAAGGTGGTTTTTTGTTTTTGTTTTTTGTCCCAGATATTTGCCACACTGTTTAAAACATTTTCCATAAGTAGTATTCAAGAAGCTTTCACAATTCTTAGAGGAAATCAGCCTAGCAGAGTACTCAGAAGTGTCTGTACACTAACACATGCACCATAGGGTATCAAGAGGACAAATTAGGGTCCTTGTGTATTGCTGTATGGCTCACAGTCTGGTTGGGATCATAGAAATGTAGCAGTATGGCTCATGACTGAACTGTGGGTGAGGACAGACTTGGGCAGTTCAGAAGATACTGGCCAGGACAATGAGAAGTGGGACTGGCAGGTAATACTTGAGAGAGCTCTGCCTAAGGACAGATCTCAGACCAACTGAGACAAGCAACCTAAAGAGGGCAACGTTGCAATGGATGTGTGCTGCAGTCCTCTAGGTCAGAAACAGGTAGGTGAGGCCCTTTTTGGATACCTTGAGAAAGTCTTCTGCTAGCAGACAGTTGACCTTTTGAGGTCTTCATCCTCAGCAGAAATATTTAGAAGAGTGATACAGTTGAGTGAAAACAATCCAGGAGGTTTCTAGGACATGCTGACGACAACTTCTTGGCACAGGTGATCCAAGAAGCAACAGATGGCGAATGCTCTGTTGAGTCTGATAGTTGCAAAGATCTGGTCAGAAATGTGAAATCTGCAGATAGGATTGCCTGCAGTAGTCACGAGATGGTGGAATCTGGGAAAATGTCAAACAGTAGGATTATAACCCTGTACTTCAGGAGATCAGACAATGTCTGAAACAATTGGCTTGGTGGACTAGGGGAGAGCAGCATCGTATATTGTTTATTTTGATGTCAACAAGGCTTTCAGCACTTTGTCCTGTGATATCCATTATAGACAAACTGATAAAGTAGGGACTAGATAAATGAACAGTGAGATGGACTGAAAACTGGCTGAACTTCATGGTTCAAGGGATTGTTATCAGCAGCGCAACATTCAGCTGCAGTCCCATTACTGGTGGCATATGTTGGGTTCAATACTGGCATCAGTACTGACCAAAATGCTTTCATTAATGATTCAGATGATGGGACAAGGTGCATAGATGATAAACAATTGAAAGAAGTGGTTGACAAACTAGACTATGCGTGTCCAACCTGTGGCCTGTGGGCTGCATGCAGCCTGGCCAAGCCCATCCTGCCCTGCACTATCATGGCAGCAGCTCTTCCTCTCTGAGGGGCCCAGTCCAGCCTGGCTCCAGGAACACACCCATCACTCACCAACAACCAAACATCGGTGTGTGTTTGGCCGAAACAAAGGCACTGGGAGGGTGTAGTGCAGTGCCAACTCAAGCTACGGCAAACAATTGAATTCATTTTGATACATTGACTAAACACAGTCCTGTAAACTGCAAAGAAATTATGCAACTATGCTTTCCAAGCTGATGAAGGAATTTGAGAATAGTTCTCAGGATTGCAAAAAAATTCATGAATTTTTTAGTATATTTGTGACTCCATTTGCAGTTAACTTATTACCTGCAAGTTTTCAAATGGAGTGTATAGAGCTGCAGTCAGATATTCAACTCAAAAATCTGATCATGTCACTTTACTAGACCTTTATATTATCTGTCTTAACAGAGCAAAATATTTTTGGCTTCACAATCATACCTTATTCATGAGATCGCTTTTTGTCAGTACGTGCATTTGTGAACAACTTTTGTCAAGGATGAAGTTCAGAAAGAGTAAAAATTCATGAAAAATCTCTGATCAAAACCTTGCAACCACTTCCCTTGAACCAAATTGATGCATTAGTTTCACAAAAACAAGGCCAAGTATCCCACTAGAACATCAGGAGCAGATACTGGTGGGATGACAGTGGAGGTTGAACTTTCCCACCAATATTCCCTTACATTTTGTTGCTGTGTGACAAATGGCAGCAGAGGTGCTGTCTGACATAATGGCATCTGACATGGAAGTGCAAATAATGCAAAGGTGTGTCATTGAATTCTTCCATGCAGAAAAAATGGCACCCAGTGACATTCTGTCATGCTTGCTGAATGTTTATCGAGTCCTAACAATGGACGTCAGCACAGTGAGGCAGTGGGTGGTGCATTTCAGCAGTGACAACAGTGGGTCACCTCTGCCAGAGCATCTGGTGTCGTTTCCATGGAAATAAACAGGAGACATTAGTTTCAGAGCAGTTTATGTATATGTGGCTCAAAACAATTCCAGTGCAAACCTGGCAAACCAAAAGGTTGGACACCCATGGTCTAACTGCTTCATCTGTCCATTGGTAAAAAATGAAGAGCTTTAGCTATAGGGCAGATCGCTTAGCCCGAGTCCAGTTTGTCCTGCAGCCCAATAATAAAAGACGTGGTATTACTACTTACATAAACGTGTGCTTATTTCTAGTCTTATCTTCCTGTTAATAACTCACAAGACCTTTACTCATTCTTTGCTTTCTTGCCTTCTGTCATAACAGCCTGAAAATACTAACTAAGCAGGACTGAAAATGCTGCACAACACTTGCATGTGTACATAAATATAGATAACATCTTGAGAGTTTAACCCAGTAAATCAGATATACCTGGTATTACTAACTTCTTCTGTCTCAAAAATAGGACAGTCCTAAGTCTTCCTTGATCGTAGAAGCTAGGGCAGTATAATTCTAATAACACGCTGCAGAATTGTCCATTGAAGTTTGCCTGCCAGGTGATGCGGTATTCAGCTTGAATAAACCTGAGACTGATTCCACAAGTGTTACAATGTATTGATTCATTTCCTTCAAGTGTTTGGTTAAAGGGTAACTTGAGGAAAGTTTTGTCCTTAAACGAATATTGTATATAAATGGATCATGTCAGCAGCACTCAGATTTCATGATTGCTTGGACTGGGAACTGGATAATGAGACATGTCAGCTCCGTTGACTATGTAGCAGATAGTTGCGTAGAGCAGTTCTGAATGTTTCAGAAAAATATGTGAGCATTCAAAAGGCTTGTGGAACAGTTTCAGGTTTACTCTGGGCCTGGTTAAACCAAATCACTATAATTGTTCTTCAGAGGATCATTTATTATGTGTTACCCATTTCACTTTACAAATAAAAACTATTTCAGAAATGGAACAGAGCTCTCCATTAGGAGCAGTAGTCATAGAAAAGGTTTATGGAGAGCTTGGTTCCTGTAAGCCTTTTTCCTTCAGGAAAAAATAAAACATTTTGCTTCCTGAAACTTGATTTCACTCCTTTCTTTCCTTTTTTCTCTTTCTTTGCCTTTGCCTTCCCTTTTTCTTGGAGAAGGAATGGGAGGGTAGAATAAACTATACTCAAATGATAAGAAAGTCATTAGTTAAATCTAAGCAGATCAGATGCAAATATGGTATGGTGTAGGAGAGTGGACATACAGCTTTTGTGACTAAAATCACTAAACCTGAATGTACAACCCATTTAAACAGCCATCTAACTTGATCATCAGGTCAAACCTACCCAATATATTGCAAATCAAATAAAACTACAGTTACCTTTCAGATGTGATACCATCTGTGAATTATTAAGCTCCTATGATGATAAAAAATGAAGAAAAACTGCATGTAACTATCAGCATAAAGATAAAACCTATTTTCTTTCAGGCTTATTTTAGGGAATTTGCCTCAGTTGTGTGAACCACATACATTTTTAAGGAAAAGTGCAGAGACATGTAGTCATACAAAAACAAAAGAGAAGAAAATAAAGATGCTGGAAAACAACTCTGAAGCTCCACTAGAATACATGACTCCTGTTTAAACAAAAAATCCTGTTCCAGTACTGTGAGTAGAATGCAGTGCTTTATACAAGTTATTTCCTGTGTTTCTTCTCTGCGTTATTCATATGGGACAGCTATCAACATGAGGTGGCTTGATGAAGTGGCACTTTTTAGAGGAACATTACGGTTGTGTACAAATGTGCTAAAAGACGCAAACTGAAGCTGAACAAGCTGAAGTGGAGGCTTGTCAACCAATTCACCAGTCGTGTCCTTAAACAATGTAAGAATGCTATGTGTCCATGCAGAAGGCAGGGATATTTTTGTTCATGGGGTATTTTTCTCTGATACTAAAGTCAATCAACCTCTTTTACTATGAGGATCTGACTGCCACAGCTGTCGGAAACCACAAATGTCTGGGACAAGTACAACATACTATTCCTGCTGAATCAGCTCTTAATATAATAAATCTATTAAGCCAGTATCCTGAAAACAGAGACATTTCACAATACAGTGGAAACTGCACTGCAAAGTGTGCCTTTGATTTCAGCAAATTCTGAGCCCTTTTCCAATAATCGCTGTTACACAAAGAATACAAAAATTTTTGTGACATCATCAGCAAATTACAATACTATTAAAACCATTGGTTGTATTTTTTGAGTCATTGAATATCTCTAAAATTGAATAGGAAGGCCTAATATCACATGCTGTGATTTGAATTCTAAAGCATCAAATGAATTAATATGCTTAGTTAAAGCATATTAATTTAAATTAGATTTAAATAATCAGAAGTATTATGAATTTTAGGTGAAAAAGTGAGGTGCCGTGCATATGTTTTCTTGGGTTAATATCACAACTTTTGACAGGTACCTGATCAGTGCAGTGTGCCACATTTCTGATAGGTTTCTCCAAAGAAAGACATTGTGAGATTCTGCACATACATATAAATGTAGGAGTGCTTTTCTGAAAGTAATGCCTTCTGTTTTATGTTGCTGACACAAAAAAAAAAAAAAAAAAAAAGATTGTTTTGTAGCTGAAAATTTGCTCTATCAAATAGTGTTATTGTGCTCTTTGTTGTAGTTTCCATGGAAATAAATAGGAGGCATTATTTTCACAGTGACTTATGTATATGCTGTGGCACTGGCTCCAGACAAACTGGAACCCTTTCCTATTTTATAATTAAGGTTGTCCAAATGAAAGTACCAACATGAAAGCTTTGTAAAACCACAAAATATATATCTTAATTCATATGCCATAACATGACATAACAAAGCAAACATGTACCCAGTTGTAAGCAAATTCTCATTTACTTTGAAGTGTACTGTTCTATAATTTTCTGTGAATCACTTTATCCAGTAAACAAAATATTATTTATAAACAAAAACAAATAACCACATTACTTTAAAAATTTCTGTTAAAAACATACTTTTTTTAGATTTATCTCAAGAAAATATAATAGGGTACCTTATTACAAAAAGTAAACAAATAAAATTGAAATCTGATAAAAAACAAATAGACTTACTTATGGATTGGATTGCAACCTTAATAATTTTATTTATATTTGTATAGAACAGATTTCTCTTTTTCTGTGTGTAATATTTGCTGTTAAATTCGAATAAATTTTGTTTTTACTAGCACATTTGTGGAAGAGACAAGGGACAAAGAAAAGGAGCATTTACTGGATTTTGGAAGAATACTTCCCAATACTTCATAGTCACTACTTGTGAAGAATACTTCATAGTCACTGCTTGTACTACATCTCACTTATTATTTTAAACAAGTGATGAACGAATCATTTGTAGAAAGCTCCATGTGTGTAGATGAGAGGGAATAATTCTATATCCAAGAGATATGTAGTTGTTACATCTTCAGTGATATTTGTCACACAACTACTACAGCTGAGGGAGCCATGAAAAGGAAGGGCTCCACTACAGTAGGCAGAGCAGAGGAGAGAAGGTCCCAGTCACACTGTTGTCTTAATGTTCTGTATCTTCTGGGTGGTATGAATGGCATTTGTAATGGTGTGATGTTTTCTTGGAACACTTTTTAGGGGCACGGCTTTGTCTTGCATTAAGTGAAGAGGGATTGTTTTGGGCAGTATAGAAAATATACAGTGTAGTTAATGCATACAAGTAACAAAACAAAAAATTCTGATTTGTTCCTGGAAAGACAGATAATCTTCACTGCTTTAAAAAAAGAAAAAAGAGAGGAAGAGGAAGGGGAAAAGGAAAGGGAAATGGAAATGGAAAAGGACAAGGACAAGGGCAAGGGCAAGTGTTACGGTTTTATGATTTCTGGTTACAGGTATTCTACATCATAACATCATGTGATGAGAAGAAAGGAGAGGGAGGGAGGGAGGGAGGGAGGGACGGAGGGAGGGAGGAAGGAAGGAAGGAAGGAAGGAAGGAAGGAAGGAAGGAAGGAAGGAAGGAAGGAAGG